ACTGCACGCGTGGTTGTTTAGGGGTCAGGACCCAGTGCTATTCCCGCTGTGCATGGCCATGTGGGTCTTTTGAGGCACGTGGCACACCAGTGCCAGCTCTCAACCAGCCTCAAGACTGGTTTCCTTGGCATTACAGTCCTGCTGTGTGAGAGGCATTTACACATGCAAACAAGGACCATCAGGAAGGACAATGGGGTGGGCCAGGTGCTCCAGGCTGGGACCGCAGCTGTGGATGGGCTGAGGGAAGCGCCATCCGCCCAGGCAACAGGGCAAGCCGGCTCCCTTTATGGTCTTGAGAGGGAGCTCCTGCTGGGGCAGGTCACCCTTGACCTCACACCCCCAAGGAGCCCACTTTGACCCCTTCCTCTCCTCTCCCACCACCTCCTCCCTCTTGTCAGCTTTATTTAGCAACTTAGATCCTTCCAGTGCGAATGTGTGGCCCCCGGGGCCAGTTTGGATTACTGACCTGTGCTGCAGCAGCATCTCAGCTACCTTCCTGGCCGGTGTTCGAAGGGCTGACACTGTAAACGGAGCCTAGTGTTGGGAGCAGTCTTCTCCGTCGTAGGAAGCACAGGCGTGGGGGCGAGGCTGCCGTGCAGGCCAGCTTCTCCGTTACTCCTGAGTGCACTGACACGGCTGTGGCACACATCTTGAACTTCATGTTTCTCCTCCTCCCCTGCCCCGGACTTCCTAGGGTTTGGACATACTCCTGGGGCCAACTGTGTTCACTCGGCCCACAGGGAAAGGCTTTCCTGAAGCAGTGTGTGCGTGTCGCAAGGCCGGTGTGGAGTCTGTGGAGGGAAAGCAAAGTGCTTTCAGCCCTGGCCCCAGCTCAGGTGGCTCAAACGAGGAACAGGAGTCTGCACTCGAGGTTTATGAGAGCAAGGGGCGCCAGTTCAGCTCTGGACCCCACTACCGCTTGGGTGTCCCCACAGCTAAGGTGTCCATTTTTATGTGTGCCACTAGCGTAAGGTGACCAGATTTTAACATTGGTAAAGCGGGACACCATTGATAAAACTCCTATCCTGGCGAAAAGGCCACATGGCAGCCGAAAACTGCATACCCTAGCTTGTCGTGCATTCTTTCTAAAAATGGGGACTGTCTGACCATCTTCACGTCGTATGTACTTCGCCCATGTGAAGAACATCAGCAGCCGGGAGGCACAGTGGAGGGAAAGTGCAGTCTGCGGGAGCCCGTGGGACTCATGGGCGACTTTTCAGAAACACCTGCTGCATAAAATGGACTCCCTGTTGTGTAAATCGGATCCAGAGATTCGCAGCTTTTTCTAACGCTACTCTAGCATTCTGGTGGATTTTTTAATTTATGTAATAATTCCTTAAGACCATCCAGGACAGGTTACTATTTAACGTTTCGGAGACAGCTGGGGAAGCCTCTCCCTCCACAGACGGTGGCTGAGAAGAGGTGGGGCATGTCCTGGCTCAGCGTCCAGAAACGCCCACCACGGGGCAGCAAGGACGGACAGACAGGCAGCCGACTCAAACGTAGGCTCCTTTCCCAGGGGTCGCCTAAACCAGGCCCCACAGTGGGGGGCCGCCCTTGTCCAGGAGCCTGCACCTTCCCCCCCCCTTTCTCAGCCAGCCACTGCTGTGACCAGGCTGGACACGACTCTCCTTGGGGTGGGGACGGGTAAGGCCCTGGAGGAGGCTCACTGCCTTCGTCCTGACCGTTGACGACCTTTGTAAAAAGCATGTATGTATTTATAGTGTTTTAGACTTTTCTAACTTTTGTATCTTCAGAGCAGAGCACTGTCAGTGCCAGCCTTGTACCCTGTTGTGAAAGACC